TTTTTGTGACAATGAGGCTTTGATAAAAATCATTAAAATTGGAGAAATCGGGCCTAAAAGTAAGCACATTGAGTTACAATATCACTATATAAGTGATATAACACAAAAATAACATGTTACTATTGACTATCTTTGTACAAAAAATATGATTGCAGACCCATTGACAAAATTTATTGGAACCGAAGAATTTAAACGACGTGTCATTGCTATGCGTTTAACTTATGAATGAATATCACGAACTTGTAGTCAAGTGGGAGATGTTGGAATATGTGGCTAAAATCCCTCCATATTAATCAAGTCACGATTGGCGGTCAAATTCGGAATATATATATAAAATCTCAATCCGTTAGTTAAATATTGTATTATTCATTATATATATCATAGATGCATTTTTTGTCAAATTATTATATATTAATTAATTATTTTATAATGATGCATGCATACATATATTGCATTGATATAATTGGATATTTGAGTTGGATCTTTTCTCGTCAGTATGAGTGACTTGGCTAGAGGGACCCATTAAATAGGGAAATAATAGTCAATCTCACTTGGAGTATAATTAGCCTACTTTGATTACAAAGGGTTGAGGAAATATGGGTGGAGTTGAAAAAATATTGGAGAGTTGAAGATATTTTGTTAAGTGGTAACGGTTAACTAAATCCTCCCTTATAAGTAAGGTTCTCTATATACAGATAGAACACACCAAGAAAATACCCAACTTGTGAGAAAATCCATTGAGGGAAAATCCCAACCCTATTACTTTCATATCAAAGATAATTTTTAATTCACAAACGCTAGTTTCTCATTCATCAGATTCACCAAATTCTGTTCTGTTTTTTCTACAGGTAATTGAAAAAATAATAATAAATTAGTATTATCTTGAGTTCCTAAATTTAAATAAGAGAAATTGAATAAATTTATTTTTTTCATAATGTGCTGGAAAACTAAGGAATGAAATATAAATTTGGAAAACTAAGAAATGAAATATAAATTTAGATGTCTTAAATTTAAATTTTGATAATTTCTTAGGGTCAAGTCATGAGGGCCTTTATGAATATCCTAATTTTAACGTGAATGACCTACATTTAACTGAATCGTTGCAAAAATTAGTTAAAATACATACAAATTAGTCCGAACAACCTTGATCGTTAAATAAAAATAATTTGACGTTCCTTTGGTCATTCATTGGAACAAATTATGGTAGCCAACATATCTTTTGTTATAATTGGTTCGAATCCAAGCATGGTGGCTACAAGTCATCAAAGTAATTCAAAGTAGAAAGCTTTTGAGGAGTATTATTTCAAGTTTTTAAATTTAAGTATAGTAAAAGGTACACATATGGATTCAATTTTTATGGTTTAGAGGTGATTGTTTGCAATCTTAATTCATATTAGAGCCATGAGTCCAAAAGAAACATAGTGAAGACGATTTTTGGTTATATGATATTCCACAAGCTAATTTCATTTGTAAACATATTTGATGGTGTAATTTATGTTGTTGTGTAGTAGAGCTTGAAGCTAAAAAAGGAAAAAATAGATTGGAGACTCTAGGGGATGTCAACGGAATTCATTGGAATACTCAGTTAGAGATACTAGGCCTTCAATGTTTGAATAATTGACACAAAGATAATAACAAAGAATGGAAATCAACAAATATAGAGTTTATAGTAGTTTACCAGCTTAAAAACTTGGTTAATCCACTCTAATAGAGTCTCTCTTGCTCCTAGGGGAACTTTCTATTGCTTGAGAAAGACGATTACAATGCCTTCGAGAGACAATTTACAAATGTTCGATCCTTTACAATGTGAGGGACTGATCTCTATTTATAGTGTGTAGGAGCATGATCCTTGTGTAATCAGCGTGAACCTTCCAAGATTGTTATGGACCATGTGATGGAATATTTGACCCTTGGAGACTATATTCTCTAGGCGTGATTTGACATTCTAGAATGTGAGTTATAACTGTCGCAGTGTGCATGAGAGTCATGTTATTGTTGACTCCTGATCTGTGGTTCTTGAGCTAGAAATCACGAGCTAGGGTCATGAGTTTGACAGATAAGAATTGGGAGCCCACCTCATTCACTTGACCTTAGTCATCTCGAACTGGAGGATTCTCAAGTCATCATGCGAGCTCGTATTGGGGGGCATGTCTATGAGCTGCTTCTAAGCCGAACTTAATCTTGGATAATTTTTGGTATTATCAATATCTATGGACGTTTTCATTTTATTCTTACATCATATGACTTTGTTAATTATTAAAATTTTACTGTAACAATATATTAGTTCTATTATTATGTAGGTTTAAATAGTTCATTAGCAATTTGTTGGGGGGGCAACAGATAAATGATAAGCAGGTATGATTGGGCTGCTTGGGAAATATGGGCCTGAACACTAAAACTTGACAACCTATCCAATGAATTACTAGCCCAAGCTAGTGTTCAGGCTTTGAAACATGAGGCTATCAGAGGTGAACCCACAGAATTAATGGACCGCGTCAATTAATCCAGCCCAAACATTCATATTATCCATCAAACTAGCCCAGTTGCATATGTCATTTCCCCCATCAAAAAAATTCAATTCCGCAAAAGAATGTGTTTCTACTCTCGAGATACTTCGGACCATATTTCCAAGTTGGCTTCTTTATCACTCTTATGTAGTGGTCGTCGGCTAACTTCTTACTAACAGTACAACTACGTGTTGACACTTAATTAGTGGTGCTAGCACATCACTTTGCCTACTTCAGTTGCAAAGACTCTCTCCTTGGATGCATGTCTTAGTAACACAAAACAAGGGTTTTGCTCATTGTAGGATTTGACCAAACATCTTAATACACGAGCTGATGACTGTCGTGCAACACCTATACGAAAGTCAGTACCATCCCATTAAGGACAAATTTTGTTGTTCATATGTCAATAACTAGTACAGTTTTACAATTTGTATCGAATTAAATTTGCACCTATTTGTATTTATTTAATGATCAGTCCGTTAGTTTTTTTGATCTCATTCGGTGTTTCCATTTGCTTCCAATAGTTCTACCTATCCACAAAAAAATTCGGCCTACGAAACAAAAGTCGACTTTTGAACTCGTTGAAGGTCGTTATGTTATGACTTTGAAACCCTCCAATTCAGCAGATTCCGAATAGAATAATTCTAGAATCTTTTGCAACGAAGGCCTGTTATCAAATTCTTCAAACTTAAGACATGTCGATCCTGAATGAAAATAAACATGATTGATCCTACTATCAATCAATCCGTCGTACAAAGGCGTAACTTTGTCTATCTTTATGGGTAGAAGGAGGGGCAACAACCTGCCTACAACCAGTTGCTTAACAGTACAACCAAAACATTTGCCTGGGCAAGTCTCAACTGCACAGGAAAATACGTAATTTCTTGAAGTTGGATATACAAATATTCAATGCGATTCTGATTTCAACATATTTTTGTTTATCTAGCTGTTACAGATATAGGATAGATAATCCAATCAGGCAATCGAGTTTATTTTTTTAAACTAGTTTAAAAAATTGTTCAAGCTCGACTCATTTAAAAATAAGTCGAGCCCGAACTAAACTGAGCCTGAGTAACTTAACTATTTTACATATAAACAAGACGAGCTCTACAAACTCGAGCGAAGCCTTTTAAGTTCATTTTTTTCTAAATAAGTCTAAAAAATTATTCAAATTTGACACATTTACAATCCAAGCAAAGCTCAAATCGAACCCTATACAAATCGAATCTGAGTTAAATCCGAATAAATTGAGTCGATTATTTTTAAAAACCTCTTTCGATGTTTAGGATTTCTTAGCCCGAGGCCCACGATTCCATGTACATAAAAGTCATCTTAGCAATTTATCAGTACAGACTTATTTAGTTGTTTTTTTTGAATTTTATTGTTTTTACAATGATATTTTTATTAAAAACTAAAGGATCAAAATAGTTTTAATACAAAAAATTAAGATTTTTCTCTTGAATAATGGTGAAATTTGAAGAAAAAAAATTATCGATATTTTTTTTCCTCAAAAAATTAGGGGGTGCTAATTACGTTAAGTTTTGTTATGTTCGTGCCATGTGTTTGTAAGTTCCTGCACTACTAAATTCTAGTTTGTATATGTTTTTTTTTAAAAATAAGTTAATAACTACAACACTATGACCAATTTTTCTCTCAACTAAATATTTTGCAAATAGCTCATGTTGATTGAAAAATATACTTAATCTTAGTTAGTTCTAGTGCAATTCAAAGGATATTATATTTTCGTTTTTGGTCTCTCAGATGGTACTAGATCAAAAATAAAAATAATAGATAATAGTTTTTTTTATGATACCTACTAAATGAGTTTGTTAGGTGATTCGTGTCTGATATGAACGGGACCTATTCGTTTTAAAAAATAAAATAAATTATTATTCCTATTAACCCATCATAATTATATTCTGGGCGATATGATTTTCTGTTCATATGGTCTGTCCAAAAATTGCCATATCATGTAAAAGGCCAATGATGAAGTCCAATGTCTTTCAAACCATGCTCCAATAGTCTAGACCAAATCATCCAATCCCACCCAATATCTCTCATCCCCTCTTCCTCCACCGTTTGATCCCCTTACCCCTGACTGTCCAGACAAGTAGTCTCTCGTACACTTCCGTAACACCGTAACATATTTTTTACTCCCAAATGAGTCCCCACAGTCAAGTGACGGAAGAACCCCCTTCTCTCTTCTCTCTAGATTCTCTCTCTCTCTGTCCACCCTGGTGGAAAATCAAGCCTCTCTACCTAGGCTCGTAGCAATCGATACGTATATATCTGTAAATATCGGTGCTCTTCTCTTTCCATATTCGAAGCCTTATGATCTTTTGAGAACTGGAAATCTATTCAAAAAATTAAACTACTGAAGTGATGCATTTTACTATTGAGTTAGGGTTTTTGGATTTGTTTAGTAGAATTGATTTGCGCGCTGGACTCTGATTGGTCGATCTGTGAATGGATTCAACGACGACGTTGAGCTCAATGGCGGTTTTAAGCAGAGAAACGTCGTCTGGGGATGATGACGGTGCTCTCTCCGTCACCGCGGGGCTTGCGAAGGAGGCTGAGGTATTGTTCCAGTCGGGGAAGTTTGGGGACTGTATCAAAGTTTTGAATCAGTTGTTAGAGAAGAAAAAGGACGATCCAAAGGTGATTAAAATTTTGAAAATTTAATTTGATTCAATAAATTTTGTTTTGTGAAGTCGAAATTTTATCTTATTTTGATCATTTGAAATTGTTTGGTTTTACTGTATGGTGATATTGAGTGGATTGGTTTCCATTTTGAGGTATTCTTTGGAAAATGCATTTTGCAGGATTTAAATGAAGTGGATTTAGTTAATGAAACGAAGTAATGAATAAGTAATTTTGGCTGATGTTTTTAGTTTTTGTACTTTATAGGCTTTGATAGGTTAATAGATAATGAAGAATCATAAAAGTTTGATCCTTTGGTAATGTGGCTGTCAAAATAGCATGCGCTATTCTGATATCATCTACATTGTTGCATAAGTATTGCTATACTGAACATAGCTGTGTTTTTTTTTGCTTAAGGTATGAAAGAAGTGTGAGGCCCAGAGGTGGGCCTTTAGTTCAATGTTTCTGGTGATGAATCCAGGAGTTAGGCTCAGTACACTCAAGTCCTTTTAGGGATTGTCTAGGCTGGGGATTGGGTCTAGGAAAACATAAAGAAGTTCTGGGGTGAGGGGAAAACCTTTTGAGATTGTGAAGATCGTTTAGTTAACAGTATTTCTTACTAAGAGATTTCTTGAACCTTGGGGAAACTGGCCACCCGCTTGCAGATCCATTGTTGGATGCTTAGGTCCCTCAATTTACTCGAGAGCCACAGTTCTTTGGCCTTTGTCAAAAGATTAGGGAGTGATGAATTAACGGATGCTGTGATGGTACATTTGAAACTTGAAAATTTTAAGTTTGGGAGATGAGAGAGGGGGGGGGGGAGGGGGGTTCTTTGGAAGTTGTTAAAAGTAGGGATTTCAATTTTAATGGTTTAGATTTGTAGACTAGGCAAATGAGGGCTTCAAAATAGGAAAGGTGATATGATGTGTGCAATGTTTTTTGAAAAAAATGGGTGCACTGTTGTTTGAATAAAACAAATGCGTGCAATGTTGTTACTTTAGAAATCATTTGAATGGGGCTCCATAATTTTGGGCATAGAAACTGAAAGTACAATTGATGCAAGATTGTTAAGAAAAAGTTTGTATTGTGCAATTCTGGGACTTCTGTGTAGGTGTGTTTATAATTGAAATTAAACAAAATTTCAAAATTTTGGAATGGCGTTTGTGTGTGGGTTAGGTCAAAGGTAGTCTAGATATCTCGAATTAAAAATGTAACTGTAACCGTTGTATTAGATTGGTTAGGAGCACATTTAGAACACTAACAATGATTATAAATTTAAAAGTTAGGCCCTGTCAAGCTATATAAATGGTTGTTACCATGGTTCAAGGTCGCAGTATTGGACCTTGACTCGGGGACCACTGAGGCGGCGTTGTAGTGCTGGATTGGTCGATACGCTCAAAATGTTATATAGAAGTATGGTTAACTTAATAGCTTTAAAAATGAAAATCTACTTATAAATAAATTCTTCATTTAATTATTTAATATGTATCTAACTAGAAATTATATGTATTTTTTTAATTATGTATATTTAATTATTAAATCTTTCATTACATATACAAAAGCAAACTTAATAAGTTAAGTTCTAATTATATTATACGGTAAATACTAAAAATTATATAATTAAAAAAATTGGATCAAAACAGTTTGAATTGTGGGACTATTGGGAACCAAAAGAGAAAAGAAAAGAAAAAGGGGAGACAAATATATTTTTGGGTCTCATTTCTCATAAGGCCAAAGTCTCACATATTCTGAGCAACGACGAACCGTGAACATATGCGAGAGAGAGAGACAGACGATGGGGGTCTGGGAGTCGATGTTGGTTGCTGAAGGCTTGCTGGGAGGGATGGGTCTTTGACTCATTTGCGATGCTAGGGTTTCTGCGATGATGAAGAAGAAGAAAGAGGGGGCTTCTGCGATGATGCTAGGGCTTTTTGTGTCCTCGATTTTAACAAGTATGTTTTGCAATTATTTTAATTTTTCTTCTATTTTTGTAGTTGCAAAAAGGAGTGAATTTGCTTGTGATTTTTTTGATTTAGGGTTTGAAAAATGTCCATTTGAGGCTCAGATCTTCTTCTCCATTTCCTTTTTTCCTTTGCCATTTTGACTTTGGAGATTTGGCTGAAGTTTCTATCAGTATCGGTCCAAGTTCGATGTAACTCGCCCAATTCAAACGATATGAGTTTGAGTCGAGTCGATTCCATCGAGTTATAACCAATTCATTGCCGAGTCATGGATGACTCGTGATATTTATGTATCGTGTATTAATATCGGATCGGTCATGGCCAAGACGAATACGACTCGGCCGAGTCGTATCAGTCTCGGCTGATATTTTGAACCCTGGTTTTTACGTATTAATTTTTGTGAAGATTATTAATTTTGGCCTTGTATGTAGTTGCAAATTTGGACGCTTGATGAACTTTATCTTATTTATTGATTTTCCATTTTATTGCAGGATCTTCATAATATTGCTATTGCGAAATCCTTTCGAGATGGTTGTTCAGATTCAAAGTCTAGATATCTCGAATTAAAAACATAACTGTAACCGTTGTATTAGATTGATTAGGAGCAAATTTACAACACTAACAATGATTATAAATTTAAAAATTATGCCTTGCTAAGCTATTTAAATGGTTGTTACGTATTAATTTTTGAAAAGATTATTAATTTTGACCTTGTATGTAGTTGAAAATTTGGACGCTTGTTGAACTTTATGTTATTTATTGGTTTTCCATTTTATTCCAGGGTCTTCATAATATCGCTATTGTGGAATCCTTTTGAGATGGTTGTTCATATCCAAAGTCTAGATATCTCGAATTAAAAACATACCAGTAACCGTTGTATTAGATTTATTAGGTGCACATTTACAACACTAACAATCATGGTTCAAAGTATTGGTCGATACTGATACGAGTTAGCCGAGTCGTATCCGTCTTGACACATTCGAAAATGATACCGTTACACGATACGTATAAATCTCGAGTCTCGCACAACTCGTTCGAGTTGTATCTGAGTTAATCCCGAGTCGTCGAAATATCGTCATCGAATTGGCCGATACGGTTTCACGACGCTGTGATATGACCTGAATTTTTTGTCATGTTCAATATTTTTCTTTAAATCGTATTGCCCAATACCGCGTCGCAACGTCGCGACTGATGTGTTTCAGAGCTCTTCGAGTTGATGGTCGATACCTCAACTTGAACCATGCTAACAATGATCATAAATTTAAAAGTTAGGGCCTGCCAATCTATTTAAATGGTTGTTACGTATTAATTGTTTTTAAGATTATTAATTTTGGTCTTGTATGTAGTTGGAAATTTGGACGCTTGTTGAACTTTATTTTATTTGTAGGTTTTCCATTTTATTCGAGGATTTGTATAATATCGCAATTGCGGAATTCTTTCGAGATGGTTGTTTAGATCCAAAGTCTAGATATCTCGAATTAAAAACATAACTTTAACCGTTGTATTAGATTTGATTAGGAGCACATTTACAACATCAACAATGATTATAAATTTAAAAGTTAGGCCCTGCCAATCTATTTAAATGATGGTTACATATTAATTTTTGTGAAGATTATTGATTTTGGCCTTTTATGTAGTTGGAAATTTGGACGATTGTTGAACTTTATCTTATTTATTGGTTTTCCATTTCATTCCAGGTTCTTCATAATATCGCTATTACGGAGTCCTTTCGAGATGGTTGTTCAGACCCAAAGAGGTTGCTTGAAGTACTGACTAATGTTAAGGTATGTGTTGATATGGTGATTGACTGTTTATGTGTTGTGGTATGGTTATTGAATTGTTTTTCTTCTTCTTCCTCCTCTCTCTGGTTTCCATTTTCTATGATCAGTACACAGTAGGGCAAAGTCAAATTTACCCCCTTGTAGTTGGGATCCATAGCAGTTTACCCCCTATGATTCGAAATAACCACATTAGCCCTATGCAATTTTGGACCAATCTGCAAAGCTGGCATTATTAATAAAAATGTTGAAATTACCTTAATATCCTCACTTCTTCTTCTTTAATTGTTTTAAAATCACATACACCTGAATTTTATCTCTCTAGAAATTGTTTTGTATCAAAAAAATTCTTTAATTCAACAACAAATCAGCTTTCCAAAGTATTCAATCCTTGAAGACTCAACCTACAGTGGTAAAGGACAGTGTTAAAAATGAAAACCTACTTGTAATCAAATACGCTATTAAAATCAAAATTCACCATTACAAATGTCAACCACTTTATAACGGTGAATGGAAGGGTGAAATCCAAAAGATGAGAATCAAATGATAGGATATATGTATTTGAGATTAACTTATGATTGAAGAATTGAGAACTGTTCATACCAATAGCCTGTTTGATGCGCTTACACAATTTTGTTTACAATTCACATCATCTGGCTGGATAAGCTTTGAGGACAGTTCACTATCTCTTAGTTGTTGCAAAGGAACTTTCGAGTCCATTAGGGTCTGTGTTTCGGTGGAATGCCTTTTGCCCCTGCCCAATGGGATGTCTTTGAGACATCTGCATTTCTCCATAGTCTTTCTCTTAACACTTACTCAACACTGCCACTGTTACCCTCTCTGCGTAGCCTAATTTATTCCTTACCAAGTATAGCAGCTGGAGCAGAGTCATTTCATCTCCATTGCTGAATGGCCTCACTAGCAAGCTCAAAACAATTGCGACCATAGACATTGATGAAGATGAGGTTTTACATATGGGTTTGGAAATTTTTCCTTCTTATCCCAATCTTCAGGCTTCTTACGATATGAAGGGACATATTGGGGCTATGAATAGTGGTCATGGCGGTTGTGGGTGATGGTCTTGGGTGACCTGGGCTGTGGAATTAGGTTTGTTTTGCGATCAAGATTAGTAGGCCGTGTTTCATGAATGAAGCAGATAGGATGTGTTTTTCATGAATTCGGGGTTTGTGAAAAACAGAGTTATTCGTTGCTGAGGAATGGGAGGTTGTTGATGATGGTGGCATCAACACCTTCTTGATTGTGTCCCAGAGACATTGGTGAGAGACAAGCAAAAGGAAGGAGAAGAAGCAGTTGGGGAGGGACATATTTGTCTTTTTATCATGAAAATTGACTTTGACTGTAGATCTTAGTATGCAAAATTTTCAAATTGGTGCGTAAGCCACAATGTCTGTCAATTTGGAAGGAAATTGTAACTGTAATATATTTGGTCCAAAAGGACATGAGGGTATAGGTTTACTTATTTTTGAGCCATAGGAAGTGAAGTGACACAAGTCCAAACTACAAGGGGGTAAACCTATAAAAAGAAGTCATTAAAAGCCCTTGGAATATAAAGAAAAGGCATCACAATTTTTTGTTTTTCAGATTTTTCTCTGATTGGGTTCCCTTTCTAGGCTACTATGGTTTTCTTCCCCCCCACCTCCTTTTTTTTCTCTCTCTCTCTCTCTCTTCCACCCTTTCTTGAGATAATAAAAGGGAAATGAAAACCCCAAACCACTAAAAGAATTTCTATTCTCAATTATATCCTTCATTTACAAGTGAGATTGCTCCTTTCTTTGAATTAAACGTGTTGTTACAGGCAAGCCCAGGCTGCCCAATAGGCGAAATGCCTGAAACCGTAAGTTTTTTTTTTCATTTATATTTAATATATTTGGAGAGGCTGGTTTGTAAAGCTTGGGGGTTTAAGGGTTGTCTTCCGCTTAAAGCATTGCTCTTTGTGGTTTTGAGAGCTATCTGGGTGGGGTGAAACATAAGGATGCTCTAGAATGGCAGATGATACAATTGGATGCACGTGTTTATTGTTTTGTTGGATTTTATTCTTCTCTTTGTTCTGGGCAGTCCTTAAGTTTTGTCTAGAAATTCAACCTTTTTGTATGGCCTCTGAAGAGTCATGCAGTTTTCCTGCCTTTTTTTAGTTTATTCGCTGTTATGTAAGAGTTGCTTTCGATACTATTCACACACATATTACTGGGTGTTTTGTTTACCTTTGACCTCGTGGACCTTGATTGGTCTATCATCCAAGGTCTATAGGAGGGGTCCCCTCATCAGTCGCTTGGTTGATTTGTGGGTGTTAGGTGTGGGCTTTACTGTTGTGGAGCTGTCCAATTAGGTAAACTATCTTTTGGGTGATTAGTCTTGTGGCCGGTTGTGCATGTGTGGACTTTGTGATACCAAGGCCAATTCAGCCACATGCAACACAACTGATTGTATACACTCATATTCTCTCCCAGTACATACTCGGGCAAACTTACCTGGTTGTATTATGGCTGTTCTAATATCAACCTTGGCTGGTGTTCGCAAGGCATTCGCAATTTTGAAAAGAATAATTCTTGGTAATATTAACTGGAAGGTCGGGGACTCTGACCCAAAGTGTCATCATGCTTTCCTGGGCTGACGGGGGATGAAAGCAGTTCCCACCAGAGGAGGTTGAGATAATGGTTCATGATAAGCCAGGGACTGCCTGTGAAGATCATGACAGCCTTCAATCATGTGAAACTTGTGAAGGAACAAGCCATGATCTAGATCAACAACATCAAAATCCCCTTGCGGGCCCCGACAGTTCCGAGCTCTGGTGCATAGCATCAGTTCCTTTGGATAGTTTTCTTTGAAAGAGTTATTTAAGTGTTTATCTCATCACAGTTACTGATCTGGGTGGTATCCACACTTTCCAGAGAAATAGTTTGCATGACATTTAGATTATCATCACCAGACAATGAGTCATATTGGAAGGGTTACAATAGATGACATTATAGTCCTCCATTAGAGCCTTTCTGTAATTACTTGTTTTGTACTCAAATGGGATTTCTAATCCCTTGAAAAATAGTGTATAAAGGCCTAAGACCACGTTATTTGGTATTGCTATAATGGTTGTTTTTTTTGGATAAGTTGCTGTGGTGGTTGTTGTTTAGTGCTTAACTTTTCTGGTGAGAGACTGGTAAGTGGGTTTTGAACTTGCGTGTTCCTTGGGACCTATTAGTTGACCCTCTTTAGTTATTTTCTTGAGGTTTTATGAAGGAGTTTTTCCTTTCCCCCCCTCTTGTTTTGAGGTTGTCTAATTTCATTTTTATTTCTTCATTTTGGGGTGGTGGGGGTTTGTGTTGACTGTTGAGCATTGCAAAGGCAGATTTGATTAGTTCAGAGGTCCGATGATCAACCAGAAGTGCAACCTAGAAATAAATTAGTTCCTACTCTAACTCTTAGTCTGAATGGACAGGAGTTCAATTTGGTTTTAGTTCTTTGAACTTGGGTTCATCTCAGATTGTTATTTTGGTGGAATAGAAGATGGTATTGGGTTTTATACAGAGTAAGATTTTAAAAGAAAGAAAAAGGTTTACTGTTATTGGATCATTACTACTTGCTCCGAAGTCAAGGGTTGAGTTTTCATCAACAATTTTTGAGGGAGAAAAACAGTGCAATAGTGAGGAACTTGAAATTAATTTCAACACGACAGATACATTTAAAGAACATTACTGACTAGCATTCCCTTGAGCGATTACTTCATCAATAATGTAAGATTGGTTCTTGTCATTTGCCCTTGATTAGGGGATTTATCCTGTGTGAGAAAAAAATTGGAATGACAAAAGTGGAGAGGACAGAATCAATTATCAAGATAAGAAATAAGATGAGAAGGTATGTGATATGCAGAGAACACATAACATAAACTTCTGGTAAACTGTTTTTCTAGATCTTGATAGTTGAGTATGCTAAAGGCATGTATCCAGGCTAGAAATTGAGTCCTTGGATCTTGGTCTGGTAGCCTGATGAGGACTACGGGTCTCATGCTGCTGCCTTAGTTTGACATTTACAGCTTGTGTATAGAAACACAAATACGGTCTGATTTGAATCGGGGAGCTCTATGCAGCATGTCCAGACTGACTTTGGATTTTCATTCTTGAGCACAAGTAGGAAAAATGGAATTGAAGAAAGTAGAACTTAACGAGGAGAATGAGTCCATGTAAAACCCACTTGTAGTTGTGTGGGTCTAATTGAGTTCCGCTGGACCTTGGCTGAGTTGCTTCCCTAAATATGGAGAGGATGATCAAGATTATTTCATTGGGTTTTAGGGACCTTTTTTCTTTCTGTTTTATCTCTTTTGCTGTTCCTTTGTTAGTATTTTTTGTCATAATGCCTATAAAAAAGTATCTATTTGTTCCTATGCATTTTGGGCCTCAATGTGATGCCATTAACTTGTTTGGGTAGTTCTATAATACTATAGAAAATAAGTATTCCTTTGTTTCTGTGCATTTGTTCCTCAATGGGATGTGCTTAACTTGTTTGGGTAGTTGCATACTGTGTTTGTCTTCGGTGCGTATGTATTACATTTGGTTGATTTTTCTTGATTTTGTTTCAGAAACGAAGTGAAGATCTTGCTTGTGCAGCTGGGGAAAATGTAGATGCTGTTGGCAACCTTGGGAACAAAACTCTAATAGGAACTAAGGGAAATAATAGTATGCCAATGTTGCATCAATTTTCTGAGGCAAATAGTTCACAAATTGCTTACACTGATGAGTATGACACATCTGTGACAATGTTTAACATGGTATGTTCACTTCTTGTTGGCATATTTGTTTTTTGTTCTCAAACATTTATGCAGCTTGATACAGGGGCAAAGCTACGGTGGGGGCAGTTGCCCACATTGGAATTTTAAAAAACTTTGGGATGTAATTAGAATTTTCAAAATTTTTGAATCTTGCCCCCATTGAAATATTTTAAAAGCTTTAGGGGCTCTGATGTATTTTAAGTGTGGGGTTTAATCTCTGCCGCTTTGTATTTGGTAGACTTGCAGGTTTAGTGAGGTCTTGTGTCGGCCACTAATGACTTTGGGACTAGAGAACTAAAAATATAAAGCGATCCTAACCGTCTTCAGTTTTAGATCCAATGGTTCCAAATGAGACAAATATTTAATTAACCACCAAACATATTTGCATTCCCATTTTTGGTAAGACTCGATCTCTTTACATCAATGACATCCATTTTTTTTTTAATTTTTTTAAATTTAATTGGAGAAATATTGTTTGGATTTAATTTGGAGAGTTAGTCTAAGTATCTAATTCAATTCGACCATTGAGTTGAAAACTCCATCTATATTGAAACTTAACTAATTCAATAGTTGCACTAAATTGTGTCTATTGAATTAACTCCTTGATTAAGTCCCCAAATTAAATACCTATAGCATTTCTCAGTTCAATTAACTATTAGTAGTGTTCATAATTTTGGATATGGCTCATCAACATGTCACCAAATTAACGCAAAATTAAGGAAAGATTTAGCCTTAACAGATTTGGGCGATGAAGAAGTACACCCATTAGACCTCTCAAATAATGGTTCGTCATGAACATGGATAAATGCAATACAAACTTACTAAATATAGCTTATACGTAGTAACCCAATAAGATATGAACATAACTATACACGGTCATAAATATTACTTCCTTTAGATTTCTCTCTCTTGGTATCCCCTTACTCTTTGTCCTATCTCTTTTATCTTTCCAATTTTTAGTCTTTCCTCAATTCATTTTTGAATTCTATCAGTATTTATCTAGTAGATTGAGTGGATAACTTTAAAGGAAATAAGAGCTTACGAAATTTTGCCAAAGCTATTGTGAGAGAGAACGTACAAACTATTTATTTGATTTCAACACTTTTTTTGTAATATTTTTTTTTATGTTCTTACAACTGTAATCAAGGTTTTTATTATTACTTGGCTAACAAAGCTTTGATCATTTGAATTTGAAGTGAAAGATGACAACTAGATCCGATTGTGTATTCTTTGAAATTTTATGTACAATGATCATTCTTTTAAAAAAATTTGATAATGAGGAGGTCATTAAGAAGTTTAATTCAAAAAATGGATTTGGATGGCCTTAATTGACATTTATTGATACTTTTATTTTTATAGTAAGTTTTTTGCTGATTTTTTACATTGCTTTTTTATGTGATTATTTTTATGACAATAATGTTAAAATTATAATTGAGCTTTATGTTGCCCCCACTGCAAAAAAAGCCTGGCTCCGCCCCTGGCTTGATACCTTCCAAAAAAATTTATGCAGCTTGTTTCTACTCTTTTTCTATGATGGTTAATATGAATTAACATGCTCGTTTCAAACTGATCTTCTACAGGCAGTTATCTGGTTTCACCTCCACGAATATGGAAAATCATTCTCAATTTTAGAATCATTGTTTCAGAATATTGAACCAATAGATGAGGTATAACAGATATAGTGTATCTTAACTTTTGTAAGTGGATTTGTGTGCTGATAGATTGCTTGATGCAGGCGACAGCTTTTCGGATTTGCCTTTTGATACTGGATGTTGCATTACTTTCTGACCATGTATTGAGATCTGCAGTAAGTTCCATTTTCTACTAGTCCTTTTCACAAAGTTTATCCAATGTTAGCTAATTCTATATTTATGTTGTTTTGAGATGGTAATTTGATTATCAATTTGAAATGGATTACGCATGAAGCTGAGCTGTTCATGTCATCCCTGTTTTTGTTCTCCGGCTGCTATTAGTATTGCCTTACATCAAGAGTTCTTGTTTGAATTGTTCAAACTACTGATTATCACTAATTGATAGGAGCTTTTCGTCTTCAGTTTGAGATGGGAGTGATGTTGTGATAGATGCTAACCTCTTTGATGTATATTCCGATGGAAATATTGTAGCTGCTGTTTTTTTCTGTAATGGCAATCCATAGGCTGATTGAATTCTTGGGCATGCTTTGCTGTACTTGGTGTGTTTAAAAGGACCCTAACAGGAGAGCTTGTTAGCTTTATGCAAAGGTGCTCTATTATGACATTTGGCGATGTGCATGTGCAAGTGTGTTCTTTATTTGTCCCTTGCACGTTTTTTCCTCCTCTGTTCTTTCTTTTTTTCCTTTTTTTTAGTATTTAAAAAGCTGCAAGCAGTGTTTTCAATTTGGTCCGATTCCATTTGGAAAGTAGCGGTACCAATAGGCTTCCTTTGTGTTTTAATTCAAGAGCCTGGTTTGTTAAGAGTACATTGCGTGTTTTGGCTTGTTCCGGCTACAGGTGTGGTCCGTGGTGTTCATTGGCCATGTGATTAGATTTTCTAACAAATTGTAACAACTAGGGACTTTCTAGAAGGACATCGAGTCTTCACTTCTCTTTATCTGGGTATCATTTAATTCCTCCAGATCCGCTGAAACACAGTATCCCCTTCCGCAGCTCATGGATTTTTATACCTTTGTTTTAGAGGTGATCTCGATCTTGACAGGTTATTGCATAGGATTAAAACATCATCTTTTTTTTTTCTATTTTCTGCAGTTTGTACTTCGAAATTTTGTTGCCGTCACAACTGAGTTCCATTGTGATTTCTGCTGTCCAGGATGTAGTTAACTATGTGGAAAAAGTATTTTTTATCAATAACTTGATCAGTCAAGGTGATAACGGAAACTCCGCACAGCTGCAATCTTCAACCCTTGTACCAAAACCTACTTCAGTTCCAAGCAGTATAACCGTCCCAGATGCTTCTGGTTCTGATTTGTCCACCAGTGCAAATGCCTCGGAAAGTCCTTTATCCAGAACTTTATCAGAGGAGAATATTGAAACCTTTTTATCAACCCTTGACATCAGTGGACAGAACCCACCCAGACCATCTGGCCTCCCAGCATCAAATGATCTTGCAAGGACACAAGTTTATGAATCCATCTCAACCATCGATTTGAGGCTCAAGTTGCATCTTTACAAGGTTCAATTTCTGCTTTTGACTAGGAACCTCAAAGCAGCCAAGCGCGAAGTTAAGATGGCTATTAACATGGCATGTGGAAAAGATTATACGTTAGCTCTTTTTTTGAAGTCCCAACTTGAATATGCTCGTGGGAACCACCGGAAAGCTATCAAGCTATTGATGGCATCAAACAATCAAGCAGAAATGGGGATCTCAAGTATATACCACAACAATCTTGGGTGCATCTATTATCGAATTGGCAAGTACCACACATCATCTGTGTTCTTTTCCAAGGCAGTGAGTTTTAGTTCATCTTCACGGAAGGAAAAACCTTTGAAGCTCTCAACTTTCTCACAGGATAAATCTCTGCTCATTGTATATAACTGTGGAATGCAGTACTTGGCTTGTGGGAAACCAATACTTGCTGCTCGTTGTTTCCACAAGGCCAGTTTAGTTTTCTATAATCGACCTCTCTTATGGCTGCGACTTACAGAATGTTGTCTAGTGGCGCTGGAGAAGGGACTTCTAAAGTCCAGTGCAGCTCCATCTGACAGATCAGAAGTTAAGGTTCATGTTATTGGAAAGGGAAAATGGAGGCAACTTGCTATGGAAGATGGGATTTGTAGGAATGGGCAGGTGAATTTTGATGGAAGAGAAAATTTATTTTTGGGTGATGATAGACAACCTGCTCTCTCAATGTCATTCGCCAGGCAGTGTCTTCACAATGCATTGCATTTACTGAACTGTTCTGAAGCAAAATATTCAAATTCTGGATTGCCGTCTAATTCAGCAGTGGAACCAATGGAAGAAGATGAATCAAGAGAAGCAATATCATTGAACAATACAAACTACAAGAGTGCATCAGACTCTTATGCCAAGCCATTTAATGTGACTGAGGGATCAGGGCAGGTTAATGCAAATGGGGAAGTGAAAGAACAGAAGGGTGCGAATAGCCTGAATTCCTCCTTACAAAGCTCCATCTCTGACTTTGATGCAATATGTAGAAAGGAAAACCAGATGATCAAGCAAGCACTTCTTGCTGATTTGGCATATGTAGAGTTGGAATTAGGAAATCCGTTGAAGGCCTTGTCGGCAGCAAGGTCTCTCTTGAGACTTTCGGAATGTTATAAAATTTACATATTTTTGGGCAATGTATATGCAGCCGAGTCTTTGTGCTTGCTAAACCGGCCAAAGGAAGCTGCGGAGCATTTATTGACGTACATGTCCGGTGCAAACTCTGTGGAATTGCCCTACATCCCAGAGGACTGTGAACAGTTCCAAGCTGAGAAAACTATGGATTGTGAGGAGTGGAATGACGGATCGGTGGCTGTCAATACTTCTGCCGATGAATCACAAGATGTGTTCCTCAAGCCTGAAGAGGCTCGTGGAACTCTTTATGCAAACCTAGCTGCCATGTCTGCGATGCAGGGAGATCTTAAGCAGGCCCATCAATTTGTGATGCAAGCCATGTCTTCAATACCGGACAGCCCACAAGCTGTTCTTACCGCCATTTATGTGGATCTCATGCATGGGAATACGCAAGAAGCCCTTGCCAAGTTGAAACAGTGTAATCATATTAGATTTCTCCCTGGCAATTTAACACCAAATGGCTCTTGTTGATGGTTCTATTGGTGGCTTGTGGAACTCTTTGTGCAAACCTAGCTGCCATGTCTGCGATGCAGGGAGATCTCAAGCAGGCCCACCAATTTCTGATGCAAGCATTGTAACGTCTCGTGGCCAGCCCACCACTCTGAGTTAGCAGGTAGGTCAGCAATCCTTTTTAGAGGATTTGTAACGGAATAAGTTTTTTTGTTACTATTTTTTTGTTTATTTCCATAATTTTCCCATCATAGGGTTCGGTAGTTGTTGTTGGTGGTGGTGGCTGAGATCATTTTGGTTGTTGCAGATGCCCATCTATAAGATTTGAGATGTAGTTTTGATTCAGATAATAGTGTTGTAGTGGCTGATTCAGTTTCAATTCAAGAGTATAGAGATCATTTGCTCCTGAGAAATGAATTTTTCAAAAAAAAAAATAAAAAATTGTATTCATTCCTTGTTTCAAATGCATCTGACAATTCCTAATAAGACCTATCAATTCGACACGAAAGGGCATTTGCTATACTGCTATGTGGACATTGGAAAATCACATGCCTGCATAGGATTAATATGGTCATGCCTAGTGTTGTGGGAGATAAGAAACATTTTGCCATGATACCTCTTGTTTGTATATTCAAACACCGATTTAAATCCATATGTCTCTTAAGAGCAATGCTGTGTGCACAAAAAATATACACTAAAACTTGTACTAAATAATTTGCAACCGTTAGATCAGTGGATTTCATCAGCGAATACTTTAATATTCGTTGATTTCTTTCTTTCGGATTATGTGGAGACAACCCCGAACATTACAAGCTCGGGAATTATTCCAATGCTGGTGCCCTTGGGGGAGTATTCATTCCTCCACGAGTATAAAAAAAAAGAAAAAGAAAAAAAATATTAATAAGTCAGATTTCATATCTATAAAGTGTAAATTAATCAATTGTATAATATTTCTATTGCAACAATCAAGTTTTATTTGTGATAATTTGTTCTAAATTGGGTCAACACTCCATCAGTCACATACAGTATTCTAATTTTACGCTTTCTCATGGGGACGTTAATTACACTTTTGCCCATGATGCATGCAATTTTAAATGCCCAACACCAAATGCATGCAATTTTAAATGATGTTGGGCAAATTATATAACTTCAACTTTAGTTGACTCATTTTTCTACTATTTAAAAATACTGACCCTTTTAATTATGCTTCTCTCTCTATACATTAACTTTCTCACGTCAATTACTCGTATACTTCCACCATTGGTGATATCTATCATATTCATTCAATATTTTTTAAAATAAATTACTGCAATGTGTTTTAGCCAACTTTAGAGGAAAAATGAATGAGGGTTGCTAAGTGACTTGAATAACTCAAATTTAGGTTTTAGAACTAGTGATAATTATGTCTTACTTTTAAGATAGAAGTTTCGTTAACCAAAACTTAAACTCATAATTTCTAAGTAAGATTCAAGAGTGATATCTACCCGACCTATTCGAAATTGATTGATGCTCTTTGTTGTATTTAAAAAATGGGATTGCTCATTCCAATATGGCAAGAAAGAAAAAAAAAAGGGTTTACTCTTAATATCCCTTTAAAGAAATTATTAAATAAATTTGTCTCATTTTTATAATGTGTTCAAAATTAATTTAATGCTCCACCGCTCATTTACTTTATTCTAATTTTATCATTTTTTTATAGAGACATTAATCAAATCTTTACTTAGATGTCACATAATTTTAAATTTCTGAAAAATCATGAAAATAACTAATATTATTGTTACATGAGGTATGCAATTTTATATGATATTAAAGAAATTATATAAAATTTACATTTTTAGTTAAACTTGTGTATCTATTTTTTAAAACAAGTATTTGTTTTGAATTTTAAGATTTTGCTTTCAATGAATTCTTGTAATCAAAACTTGACAGGGAAAAGGACAATGATAACAAAAAAAAAAAAAAATTAATTCTTGAAGATATGTCAAAAAATAAGATTTCATTATTCAAATAAAAAATTGTCAATGTTTTTTGTTTAAAAAATAGAACTCCTTAATGTGTGAATCGGGATATAAAATTTCTACCCACAATAATGATTTGACGTGGAAGTTTGACTTTAATTTAATTTATTTATTATGACACAGACAATACACAAGTAGAAAAGTTTGGGTTAAACCTTGATCGAGTGTTTGTTGAGCCCAAGTGGACCTCAAGTTAACAAATCTGTCAAAGTTGAACTAAGGATAAAAGTGAGAAAATTAATAATAAATTGGCTCAATTATTAATCAGCCTAAAAAATTTATAAATTTAAATACCATAATCTTATGTATAAGCTTGAAAGTCTTTGAAAGAAAGTGCAAGTTGGCGGGTGTCACATTCTACACTGTTAATTCTTCTATAATCCGTCAAACACGCACGACTTAATTTTTCTCGGTCAATGACCCTAGTCATTGAGTTTTGATTCTTTTGAGATTGTTTTAAAGGTAAGTATAAAACTATGTTACTAAAAATTTATTTATCGATACCATATTACATTTGAATAGAAAAAATATATTCCATCCCACAACAAAAAAATTAGTTATAGATGTTATTTTAAGTTATTTGTAATCATTGATCATAAAAATAACAAAATAATAAAATTTTGATTTCATAATCTAACCTAAACAACTATGTCACATATTTATGGGCCGTGGGGACCTCATTATAGGGATAGTCTTTAGCGACCAAGACTTCAACTCTTAATCTCTAAATAAGATTATGAGAGATATCTACCCTACCTATGCACAATTGATCGATGCTCTTTGTTGTATTTAAAAATTGGGATTGCTCATTCCAATATGAAAAAAAAAGGTTCACCCTTAGTTTCCCTTTAAATCAATTATTAAATAAGTTTGTCTCATTTTAATAATGTGTTCAAAATTAATATAATGCTCCACTGTTCATATACTTTATTTTAATTTTAACCTTTTTTATAGAGATATTAATTACATCTTTACTCAGAATTCATAGCTTCTTAATCAATTTTAAATTTCTGAAAAATCATGAAAATAAATAATATTATTGTCACATGAGGTATGTAATTTTATATGATATTAAACCAATTATATAAATTTTACACGTTTAGTTAAACTTGTTTATCTATTTCTTAAAACAAGCATTTGCTTTGAATTTTAAGATTTTGCTTCATTGAATTCTTGTAATCAAAACTTGATGGGAAAATAGGCAATGACAACCAAAAAAAAAATATATTAGTATTTCTTGAAGATATGTCCAAAAATAAGATTTTATTATTCTAATCAAAAATTGTCAATGATTTTTGTTTAAAAAAATAGGACACCTTAACATGTGAATCGGGATATAAAATTTCTATCCACAATAATGAATTGAAGTGAAAGTTTGACTTTAATTTAATTCATTTATTATGACACAAACGATATACAAGTAGAAAAGTTTGCGTTGAAAAGTCAAAGTGAAACCTCTCAATTCAACGAATCTGCCCAAGTTGCACTAACAAGAAAAGTGAGAAACTTAACCATCGATATAATCTTTTATGATCGATATAATCTTTTATGATTGATTGTCACTTTACCATCGATAAAAAATTTACATATTTTAGTACCACAATCTTATAAATAAACTTGTGTGAGATTGATCCTTATAGGCTTCTACCCATTGTAAATATTACGATCCATTCTTACCTTTTTTGTCGTAAGTTAAGTCCAATTAATTATAATTTGACCAAAAAAATTATTAATTATCCTAAAAAATCTATAAATTTTAGTACCACAATCTTATAGATTAGTTTGGAAGTCTTCTAACGAAAGTGCAAGCTAGCAGGTGTCACATTCGACATTGTTAACTCCTCCATGACCCGACAAACACGCACAACCATGTTTTATCAATCAATAGCTCTACTATTTGAATTTTGATTCTTTTGAGATTGTTTTAACGGCGAGTATAAAACTATGTTACTAAAAATTTATTTATCGATATATACTATATTGCATTTGAATAGAAAAAAAATAAATTTCATACCGCAAAATAAAAATGTCGTAGATGTTAGTTTAAGTTCTTTGTAATCACAGATCAACAAAATAATAAGATCAAGTAAAATAATAAAATATCAATTTTTGAATGTGTCACTTTATAAATGAATTAAATATACCGTATGATATTAAAAAATAAGTTTCCGATGTCAGAATCTAACTTAAACAACTATGTCACACACTTTTGGGCCCCCTGGGGAGACCCCATTACAGGGATGGTCTTTAATGACCAAGACTTTTTGTGCTAGTAATTTGTTTGTAGAATGAGACATGACACGATTACGAAAAAATAGGATCGATTTTAAAATATTATGATAAATTCTAACTTAACTTCATTTCGATGAAATTGTAATTATGATTTTTGAGTCATAACTCAGATTCCATTTGAATTATAAATTACACTTATGGAATTATAATAGAAGCAAGACCGTGGTTGTTCCTTGACAATTCCATGAAGACCTTTAGCAACCAAGACTATTTTGCTAGTGTAATTCAGCCTTAGAGAAGACGAAATGTGGTCCTGTATAGTGTTTCTATTTGTATGACATTTGCCTTTGTTTCGGTTGATATAGTCTGTCTTATTGTCTCTCTGATAAATTTAGTAGATGGGTTGTTCAATATGGTTCAATCTCAATCAACTCTTTCATCTCTTCTTCTTCATTCTCTCCTTCGTCCAACTAACTCCTTCCCGTGCACAACTTTGCCCTCAAGACCAGAGTTTTGCATTGCTTCAGTTTAAGAAACAATTTTCCTTCGATGCATATGCTTCACAGTTTATGTGAAATTTACAATGGAATTCCTTCTTATCCAAAACTCAAATCTTGGAAGAACGGTACTGATTGTTGCTCGTGGGATGGGGTGGAGTGTGATTGGAGGACCGGTAATGTAATCGGCCTTGACCTCAGCTGCAGCTGGCTCTATGGCACCATCCATCCCAACAACACCCTCTTTCTCCCTCCTTATATTCAAAGGCTCAACCTTGCTTACAACGACTTTGTTTCCTCTCCATTTCCATCTAATTAATTTGATCGGTTTTCCAAATTGACAAATTTGAACCTCTCTTCCTCTGGATTCTCGGGCCAAATCCCATTAGAAATTTCGGAACTATCTAATCTGGTTTCACTTGATTTGTCATCGAATAGTCAATTGAGATTGGAGAAAACTGGTTTTGAATTGCTTGTTCAAAACTTGACCCAACTAAGAGAGCTTAATCTTGATGAAGTAAACATCTCTTCGGTGATACCACGTTCCTTGTTAAATCTTACTTCTTTAACATTCCTCAGCCTTGTCTCTTGTGAATTGCTGGGAGAAGTTCCTGATCAGCTATTTCAACTGCCAATTTTGAAGGAGTTGCATTTAGGTTCTAATAAGGCCCTCA